CCTGCCAGGCCGGGCCGGGGCGGGGCCGCGAGTCCTCGCGCTGCCCGCAGCCTAGAACCCGTTGCCCGCCAACCGACGACTCGCTGGCCAACGAGGTAAACACAGCCAGATTCGGTCCTTTCGGAGAGCAGCTGTACGCGCACGTGCAGTCGGAACCAAGTCCGCGAGACCTCCTGGGACTTGTAGTCCACGGGTTTCCGGTGCGGCGGGGTGGAACTAGAGGGGTTGAAGAGGGGCCTGGAACCGGAGAGAAGATTTTTGCGCATGTCCAAATTTGCATCCAGACCGTGAGGGCTCTTGGGTAATGTAGTCCTTTGTTGTACGGTCCGGGCGTGACGGAGGCGGGGCAAAAGGCCGACTGCCGGTCCGTGCGCACGTCAATCAAGAGCACGGGGCGGGGCTGGAGGACCTGGCGCCCTAGCACGTCCTGTTGGGCCGGAAGTGAAAGTGCGGGTGCCACCGGGGGCTCTCAGCGGGTGAGGCTCGCGTAAACCTTATCTCCGAGGATTCGCGGGGTCGGAGGACGGGAAACCCCACAGCTGGGGTCCATTTGCGGGGGGGGATCCCCTGGGGGCTGAAGAGCCACTGTCAGGCGGTAGAGAGGAGGGGAGAAGAGGGCGGGGACGCCCTTGCCTAGGGGTCTGTTTGGCTACCCAGTGTTATGCTTCCATAACTGCGGCGGAAGGGGGCACCCTCGACCCGGGCCGTTTATTTAGGAATTGCTGCAGCAAGGCTACCTTAAGAGGTGGGAGAGGTGCTAAGGAGAGCCTGGGGCTTCGGGAACCCAAAACCATGGGGACATTTCATGGACCCAGCAAAGATCTTAAGGAGGCGAAGGTGGGCCAAGTGAACTAACATTCGAACCCTCCTTACGCCTTCCTGTTCCTTCAGCCCCTGCCCCGGATGGCAGCAGTCGTTCTAGGGGGAGACACCATGGGCCCAGAACGCATCTTCCCGAACCATACTGAGGAACTGGGGCCTCACGTGGGCCCGGCCGAAGGCACTGGAGATTGGAGCAGCGAGGAGCATGAAGAGGAGCCCGAGGAAGTGGGGGCAGGCCCCGCTGGCTACTCTTACCAACCTCTCAACCAAGATCCTGAGCCAGAGGAAACAGAGATGGCACCTGTGGGCGATGGCGAGGACGCCGTGGCTGACATCCAGGAGCGGATCCAGGTATTGGGGTGGGGGTGGCGTGCGCATGGAAATGTATCTGAGCAGGTGAAGTTGGAAGCTCTGGAAGGGCTGACCTGCAACTACCTTCTCTCTGGGCCCCCAGGCCCTGGGGCTGCATTTGCCAGACCCTCCGCTAGAGAGTGAAGATGAAGAGGAGGGAGCCACAGGCTTGAGCAGTCACAGCTCCATCCCCATGGACCCAGGTAAGAGCGCTTCCTTTCAATGCCGGATTCGTTACTGAGGAAAGGGCCTAGCAGAGCCAGCAGGGGAAGGCTCTGTTCCTAGAAGGGCAGCTTATAACCTAAGACTGCAGATCTCAGAAATCTTAAGTGAAAGGATGTTTCCCCGAGACTAGAGGGAAGGGCCAGGTTTGCTTAGCATTCACAAGATGAATTTGGTGGCTTCCCCAGCCCGAGGACTGGGGGTTGACTGTCTGTCTGACGGCTGTGATTTCAGAACACATTGAACTGGTGAAAAGGACAATGGCTGGGATAAGTCTGCCTGCGCCAGGGGTGCCCGCCTGGGCTCAGGAGATCTCGGACGCTCAGTGGGAAGATGTGGTACAGAAGGCTCTCCAAGCCCGGCACACGACCCAGGCCTGGAAGTGATGACAACAACGGTGACAACACCGAGAGATGCCTTTAGGGCCCCGCATTCCAGGCCAGGACTGAATGAACACATCCCTGGTTTTCACGTCCTTCTCCATCTGCTCCATCTCCCTTTCCACATCAAGGCAAATCAAGACTTCTTCTCAGAGACCCACTTTATTCAGTTCTGTACATTTGGGGACCTCGGCTCAAGCCCAACCCGCCTTAGCATGTATCGCTCTGTGGAGAATAAAGCACCCTGTGTACACAGCCAAGAGGTGCATGCCGGTGCCCCCCCCCTCGACCTGGGTCCTGCCCTCCTTAACCCCTTGCCCCCCCACCCTCCAAGGTGCCGGACAGGGGCCAATGAGGGATTGCCTAACATCAGCACAAAGGAAATAAATAGGTGCTGGGGGAGCCATGCTTGGGGCGCTGCTCCCTCCCAGCTTATCCCAAGAGCACTGGAAAGCAGTCCCTCCAAGGTGGTCCCATCCTTGTCTGTGATCCTGGGACTGCTGCCACTCAGGAGGGGCACACAGGGTGTGTGTCCATTCCCACCCTCTTAGTTGGCTTGGGCCCGTGTTCACCACTTACTGTCCACAGCCTGTATTTTATTTTCCTATGACCTCCCCACAATGTTGTCTCCATCAGGTGGGGGACAGGAAATAATAGGGCCCCCTTGGCCTGCACACCGCTGAGGCGGGGGGTGGGGTGGGGTGGTGGTTTAGTTGTGCTGTGTAGGTTGGGCTCCCCCGCCAGCTACTCTCCAGGAGTGACTGGGGCTCAATGTAACTTTGGTGAGAAGTTGCTGCTCCCTACCCGCCTCTGCAGGCAAGGAAGAGGGCAGACGCAGGAGCTCAGATGAGGACAATGAGAAGAGGAGGGGGACATGTGTACTCCTGTGTGGTGGTCTCAGAGCAGCCTCAGGCAGCTGTGAGGTGAGCAGGAGGGGGTCATGGATCCCCATGTGGTCTGAGCGTTGGGGAGCCCAGCCTATCTGCACTGTCCACAGGGAGGGATGAACACATTTGGGGAAGAAGGGGGACCACCCCGTGAGCATCCCGGCTTTAAGTGTCTGCATCCCCACCCCCAGAGTAGCTAAAGAGGCACTGCCTTGCCCCCAAGTCAGGCAACAGGGAGCAGAGGGTGGAGGGCCAGGGTTGAACGGGCTGTGGCCCTGCGGTGGGCAAGTGAGGGTCAGAGAGCCTCCTGGCTGGCGGTTAGGAACTCTTCGGCCCGCTTGTGCGCCTCCAGAGCCTTGATGGTGTACACGTCCTGGGGCAGCTCTGACTTCCGCCGGAGCAGCACCTTCTCCTTCTTCATGTCTTTCAGCATCTGGAGGGGAACGGGGAATGAGACCAGCTGCCACCCAATTCTATTCCCCCTTTTAAGGTCTTTGGCTCTGGTGTCTGCCAGAGCTGTAGTTAATGCCTGCCCCCTCCCAGCCCAACACTCTCCCTCCCACCTGCACGGCCTCGGTCTCCACCGTCCTCTTCAGGAGCTGAATGTCCTCTGCCGTGGGGGTCTCCGTCTCCATCGAATACACGGGGGGCAGTGGTGGCGGAGCTCGGAACATGGGGTACTGTGGGGAGAGGAGGCAGAGACAGGTGGGAGCATGGTGCAAATGCTCATCTCAGGTTCCTCCTCGGCCTCCCCTCAATCCAACGCTGCACCTGGGAAGCCTCACCTGGGGATTTAGCCGGGCCAGCTCCTCGATCTTGTGCCACATCTCTTCTCTCTCCTTTACTCGGAACCGGCCCCTGCGGGACAGGACCAAGAGCAGAGTCAGGGCCCGGTGGGCTTGAGAGGTGCAAAGGGAACCCGTGTGTCAAAGGTATGCGCTCCCCGCCTGCACACACAACAGGGCGAGTACTCACTTCTGTTTCTCTGCCTTGTACTGCTGCGTACAGTCGTCAAAGAGCTTCTGGTTCATCTCCATAAACAGCTTCAGGGCATTGTAGATGAGTCCATGGATGGTCCTGCAGCCAGTGAGAAAGGAGAGGTGCAGGTGGCCAGGGCCGGCCCTTAGAGCCAGGACCCCATTTGCTCTCTCCTACGGGGAAACTGCTGCAAGACTGCCACCACCACCCCCTCCCAGCTCACCAACCTCTGCTGCCTTGGGCATTTCTGTTGCCAAATCGGTTTGCTTGTGACTGAAGATTAGTATTTCAGGGTCTTTATAAAGACCTGTCCCCCTCCCACCCCCAGGGTTCCAGGGCCTCTGTCCTTCCTACCACCTCTCCCTCTCTAAGCCTGACAGACTGCGTGAGCTTCCTTTTGGTAGGTAAGCCTCTTCACAGTCCTGTGAGGTGGCCTGCACCCCTCTGACTCCACGGAAGTGGCGTAACCATGGCTTCGGCCTGCTGTTTGGCACCCCAGTGACCTCACAGGGGCATCTTTTTATTTCAGCCCCTCAAAGGTATGCATCGGTACCAGCCCCACCTGCAAAGCCACCAGGTGAGACCCCACCCTGAGGGGTTCTAAAGCCAGAAGGCCACCTCCAGGCTCCCTACTTATTCCAGTGGCTCTTGGAGTTCCTGTAGAGCGCGGGGAACATGATGGGGAGGACGCGGGCGGCGTTGTCGCTGATGAGGCTCATGATGTACTCGTTGTTCCAGTAGTACAGGGCCCGCTCTGCCACCTGGTGGGGAGAGACAGCGCTCAGCTTGGAAGGCCGGCCCGTGGGGCAGGGCGAGGCTGGGGCCAGGCCGGGGCAGAGTCTCACCTGGAAGTGGGGGCTGGAGACACACTTGGCAAGCTGGCGGAAGAGTGGTTCCATCACCTTGCTGAACTCCGACGGCTCGATGACATCCAGAATCTCCTCCAGCTCGTTCAGGAACATCACCTCCTTGGGGCTGTGCGTCTTGGGCCAGAACTTGAGGAGTCCCACAATCACCTGGAGGGAGGGAGGTGGTTAGCCCCTGCCCTCTCCTCCCACCCACCCTTTAGGGCCTCAGCTAACCAACCCCGATGCTCTGGCTCGGATCTGCTGTGTATGTGTGTGTGCACATCCTCCTGAGAGCCCACATACGACATAGCTCAATCGGTCCCCCCAAAAACAAACCACTGCCATCACGTCGATTCAAACTTAGATGACCCTGCGGGACAGGGTAGAACTGCCCCTGAGCTTCAGAGACTGTTGATGGTAGTGGAAAACCCATCTTTTCCCTGCCGAGCGGCTGGTGGTTCCGAACAGCTGATCTTGCAGTTAGCAGTTCCATGCATAAACACTACACCACCAGAGCACCTTGCTCAATAGGTACAGACTGGCGAATGAGGCTGATGATGGACGGTGGTCCTGGGACACAGAAGGGGAGTTACCGGCTCCGTGAGACTGCTCTCCTTCTCCAGGAACTGGACCACGCAGTAGGCCAACTGCGAAAGGGCGAGGGAGCAAAGGGGTGAGGTCCCAGAGCTCCAGGGGAAGGGGAGGGCCCGGGAAGGCCTTAGTCCACCCCTTCTCCCCTCTGACCCTCTCCTCCTCCCACTGCTGTCGGACAGAGGACTCACCTGAGGATGGTAGACACTCAGGGACTTGACCTTGTGCAGGGGGAGCAGCACTCGGATGAGGAACATCTTGTGCTCCTCCTTCAGGGGCAGGGCGAAGCCATTGATGATGCTGGGAAGGGAGGGACACTTGCTGGGACCAGGGGGTCGGGCATGGGGCTGGGGCACCTGGGCCCCCACTCCACCTCTCACCTGCCCAGGATCTCCAGCAACTCAGCAATCCCATTGTGGTGTTCCGTCTCGTAGATGAACCTGAGGGGGGAGAAAGAAGGGTTCCCCTGGTGTCCCTGCACACACTCCATCCCTGTACAGTAGGGGAGGGGCTGCCTGGCTCACCTGTAGAAGATGTGATTAATCTGCCTGCGGATATAGGCCCGGAGCCCCAGGAATTTGCCATAGATGCGATGCAAGATGGTCTTGAGGAAGTCGCGCTCTCGAGGGTCCTCACTGTCAAAGAGGTCCAGGAGCTGTTGGGGGGGGAACACTGTGAGTAAGGCAGGCACTGGGGTAGGGGGGGATCTGGGGGGCAGGTCTCTGAAGCAGCTTGAGTCTAACACACTACTCCATCCGGGATGCCGCCTGGGTACCCATGTTCATATAACCCACCCAGAGTGGCAGTTCCTGGACGGCTGGACTGCTGCCTGCCATTTTTTTAAGTTTAAGGGCACAAGGTAGGTCTTGTCAACCCCCTAATCTCCCTGTACCAGGCAGAGCTGAAGGCCCGGACGTTCAGCATCAGGAAACAGAGCAGCTGACATGGGCCGGGGCTGGTGGTGGGATCAGGACTAGAGTTCACAGTGGAGGGAGGGAAGGGCAGGAACTGGCAGGACTCACGGCAAGAACAAACTTCTGGTCAATGTACTTCTTGGCTATGTTTGGCTGGAAGTCCGGCGACTCAAGGAAACGGAGGAAAAACTCATACACGAGCTGGGAGGTGGGGGGGTGAGAAGGAGCCTCTGCTTAGGGGGGGCACGCCCTTTGCTGGTACCAGCTTCCCTGTGGCCAGAGCTGGCTTGCCCTTGCCTGGTACCTGGAGATGGGGCCAGGCCGCCTCCAGGGTGGGTTCATCCTCCTCTGGGTCAAACTCGGCCCCCGTGGGATTGGATGAAGGTGGCAGCGTCCGGAAGAGGTTCACTGAAAACTGAGGGAGGGGCCCCTGTCAGTGCTCTGCCTGGGCATCTCTGGCGCCCCCGCAGCCCCTGCCCCCTGCCCTGCCTCCCACCATGGTGACAGCCTCGGGGTAGATGGCCTCTGTGACGACGTCTCGGCTGTGGGTGATGTACTCCACCATCTCGTTGAGCCCCGCACGCTTCACCTCCTTGAACTTGAGGTCGCTGAGTGGGTCTGACACAAAGTCAAAGAGCACACAGCACTGGCGCAGTTTCTGGATAAATAGCTCCTCCCGCTCCTGGGTTGGTGAATCTGGAGGGGGTCAGGGCGGGCAGCGGTCAGGTTCTCCTTCATTATAATGCCCTACAGGACTTGCCCTCAGCCCACCCTGCTGAGGTCCTGGTTCCCCTGGGACTGCCCCCAGGCATGTCCTCCAGAATGTCCCCTGTGTCCCCAGACCTCCCTGCCCAGCCGTGTACCTTTCAGAGCGGGCAGCTTCTGTAGCTCCCGGTTTTTGCTGAGGTTGAAGCGGGAGGAGCTCTGTCGGCGCTCCTTCTTGACGATCTGCGGGCCCCCCGAGTACTTGATTTTGCTGAGCTGGGTGGGGGGCGGTGTGCTGTTGCTGGGACGCTTGTTGGAGGCCGGGGGCTGTGGCTGTGGCTGTGGCTGAGTCTGGGGCTGTGGCTGCGGCTGGGGCTGGGGCTGGTCAAACAAAGTCAATTGTTAGAGCTCACTCTTCAAGAGACTGTTCCCCAGCCTCAACCTGGGCCACCCCATGTGGTCCCCCAGGCAGCCGACGCGGTAAAGGCCTGGGCATGGAGCAGCTGTCTCTGTCTTGGAGCAACGATGGTCAGGCTCAACCAGATATCTGCCAGCTGTCCCCTGAGAAGGGAAGGTCGGACTGCCTGGATCAAGAACCTCTGGCGTCCGTTCCCGCTCGAGAGCACACAGAACTGGTGGGCGGTGACAGAAAGCAGGAAAGGGGTCCCCCTTCCTCTTGTTAGTGTGGGGGACCGTGGGTACTATCTGATTTCAGGGTGACCGGATCTGAGAGGCTTAGTTATGCATATAGATGAGGGAAGGAACTTCACAAAGTTTACGGGAAAAGCCCACTCTCTCTTCACTCCCATCACCGACAAAGGGTTAGGGGTTGGCCTATTAACCACAAAGTTGGCAGTTCAGACCCATCAGCCGCTCCT